TCGTGTAGGTCACCTTCCTGGTGCTATTCTCGTTAATAGTGGCGATATTCTGAGTTGCTGGACGAGCGGTGCTCTTCCGGCTCTCAAACATCGGGTGGTTGTACCAGAACTCTGCGGTCGGGGTAGACATTCCATCGCTCTCTTTGTTCATCCAGACAACGATGTTGAGATCGAGCCCTTCGAAGCAATGGTGGCGAAGGCCAATCAAGAGCCCGCTGCCTGTCGTCTCCACAAAAAAAAAAAGGGTGTACTTACGGCCTACCAGCACCTGCAGCGTCGCTTTCGCGAAACTTATGCCTCGTAAATGAATTGCTTCGCGTCTTCTTGTGGCGTGTTCTACCTTCTAATTGGACGGCACGAAAAATATAGATATTGAGTAACAATCGGTGCGTTATAGTTTCCAAAAGTCTGCAGATTATTATGCGCATAACGCGCGTGCATGTGTGCGTATGACGTTTGTCATCAATGATCGCTCGATTAGTTCCGAGATTTTATGATTTTGATTTTTCTTTGATGTACATTGTTGAATTTACTTGGTGTAAAGTGTTTTTAATTTTTTAATAGGTGCAATTAATCGAATCCCCCTTTAATAAATTTCCTATTTAAAACGTCTATGGACATTCTACGGATCAATATTTTTCAGCCCTTAACCAAAAGTAAAATTAAAATTAAAATAACTTATTGCATAAAATGAAGAGTGTTGATTGTCAGATTGAAGATGCAGATTGGACATCACAAATGGTATGCAGCACAAATGGCAAAATCGTAAAAAAATAATTTAAATTTTTTTAATATTTATCCTTGACAAATAAATTTAATTAATCGGGCAGACTATAAAATATGTCACCTATTCTATTAAGTAACAAATATAAATATTTAGATTATATGATTTAATAATTATTAAATGTGTTGGCTATAATATTTTTTTAATATAAAGTTTATATGTGAAATTATTGCATTTTGAATTTTTTAAATTAAGCATTATAAGAAGTTTTGATTTTATGAACAGTATTTATTATTTTAATTAAGGTAATATGAGAATAGATATTTTAGTGATATAAATACTCATTAATCTACATAATGTAAGGACCAGGGTTCTGTTTCATTTTGAAAATATAAAAAATATAACCTTTTTTATAATTTGTAAGACAAAAAAATTTTTTTTATTTGAAATTTTTAAATTATGAAATAACACATTTTAATTCATTTATACTTTTTGAAATTAATTAATATAGATAAAATATTCATAATTTAAAAATAAATATATTTTAATTTATTAAAAAGCAAACTTTTTTTAACTGCTTACTGCGCTGTATTATAAAATTTGTATATGATATTGCACCTTTGAATTAAAGTATTGGTTATGTATGGTTTTTTATAGTATAGAGAATGTAATTAAACTTTCAAGATGAATGATCTCTTCTAATTTTGAAAAAAAAGAGTCCGTTTCCGCTTTCTCAATCAAAGATTGATTGAACTTAAATTCATTGTACGAAAATTTATGCGAATGGGACGATCGATAGTGAACTGATTAATTTAACGAAAAGAAAATATGTATCAAGGAATAATTAACCAAAAAATCTATCAAAGGACTATTAACTGTATAATATTATTTTGTACACTGAAATTTTTTGTTATAATTTCAATCTCTTGGTATATGAAAATAGGTTTGTCTATAATTTAAAGAACATGTAAAATTTAATTGATACTTTTTTTTTGATTGACTAAATATATATAAGAACCACTATAGTGTCTCAATAATAAATAAATTTGTACTTAATTATTAATCATTCTTTTATTTGTTTCCTTTTTTCTCTTTAATGTTTTATATTAATTTGAAATATTAAAAAATTGTAGAATTTGAATAATTTACTACAGTAACATATTAATCAGAATAAGTATCTTAATACTTAGTTAAATATTCTGTTATTATATATTAAACTTTTCAAGGTATTAATAAAAATAGTAAAAGATTTTAGTTATATATCACTAAAAAAATAAAAAAATTATAATATATAATATAAATTTTTATAGAATTTATAAAATATATCAATGACATATTTATTCGTCAAAAAGCATTTATTTTCAAAAATTGATTTAAATTTGTAATTTAATACTATAAATATCTAATAATTGTACTATATACTTATTTTTTAAATTTATTTTAATTCATATACAATATATTTTATGCAATAAATGTCTTGAACATTTATTGGATTTTATTAAATGTATTTACAAAAATTTATTTACAATATTTATTAAAATTTTGTTTACATATATTACTTAAAATCCAGGATTCCAATTAATAAATTGTGGTTCTTCTACAATTTTATAACAAATAACCACATCACCATGTTTCAAATTGATTTTTTCATTTAACTTTAACCCACCTTCCTGTTTTAAATGGAGTGTTTCAATTTCATTTTTGAAATGTTTCATTTCAGATATCTTGCCATCATAAATAACTTCACCATTTCTCAATATTTTAAAAAATGCACTCTTTTTAAATACACCACTTGTACATCGACATCCTGCAATTACAGCTTTTGTTTTTTTATTATTAACATCAAATTCTTTTAAAACTATTCCTTCACCTAAAAATATGTACTTTATAACTTAAATTAAAATATATGAAATTAAATTAATCATTTCCATACCAATTGTTTCTTCTTTTTGTATTAATGGAAGCATATCTGACATTTTAGTTTTTATATCATCAATAAGTTTGTATATAACATTATGTTCAGAAACTATAATATTATTTTCATCAATCACACTTAAAAGTGTTTTTGGAATTTTAATATTAAAACAATATATTACAGCTAAAATTATTAATTTAAAATTATATATTGAATATTGAATATTGAATAAATTTAATTCGACATTCAGATTTATTATTACCATTAAAAGTTTTTGATAATTCAAGATCGCTTGCTGTAATTGATCCAACTCCATAGCTAACAATAGATAATGTACATTTCTTATCTTTATAAGTTTCTAATACATCCAATATTGCTTCAACCGACCCTACGACGTCACCTTTAATTATTACATATAATTTTAATGATTCATCCTTAAGATTTTCAACCTTTTCAGATTTTGATACAAATCCTGATAAACGCATCTCCTTAATTTTTTTATGTTGCTAAAATTGAAATAACCTCTTGATTGAAAATAAAAATATGAGCAAAATACAAGAATATTACTTACAATTACATGTTCAGCATGTTTTTGATCAGCAACTTTCTTTTGGTTTACAGATTTTTCTTTATTAAGGTTTACTTGATGATATTTAATTACTAAATGAGCTTTTTTTTCATTTTTTACTTGATAGACGTTATTGCCAACGACAGGTAAATCACGCCAACCGGTGATTTGTACAACATTTGATAGCTTAGCTTCAGAAAGTTGTGAACCAGTATGATCGAAAATTGATCTTACCTTGGCCCATGTTATACCACTGACTGCAATATTTAATCATAGATTATTTAATCATTTATAAATATATTAAGCATTAAGTAATTTTTTATTATTTGTAATTAATTGTCAAAAAAACTTTCAGTTTTGATGTATTCTTTAATATATTAATACATCTATACAATAACAAATTTTTAATAAATATTTTTCTCACTTGAATTTTATACTTTTCTTCTGAATTATAGTATTACTTTAAATTATTACTTTATAGTATTACTGACTATTAAGTTTTTTTATGTTGATAATTTTGTTACTAATTTTATTTTTAAAGCCTTTCTGGTACATTTTAACTAATAAATAAAGATAAAATAGTAATGAATTATTTATTATTTTCTACCTAATATATCACCCTGTTTAAGATTACCACGTTGAATTATCAATGATGTCATTTTTCCTAGACCAATATTATTCGTCGCTTCAATTATTACTGCTTCTACAGGTCCTGTTGGATCACCTTTTAAATCCATTATTTCAGCTTGTACTGATATTGCTTCTAATAAATAATTTAAATTTGTTCCATTTTTGGCAGATATATTTACACTTTGGTGATTTCCACCTATGTCTTCAACAATAACTCCATGTTTAGCTAACATTTGTTGAGTTCTCTCCTGGTAGAACAATAAAAGATTTATCAAGAAATGTAAAAAAGTATTAATAATAATTTATATACAACTTACAATATTAATGTTTGCCTTGTCAATTTTATTTATAGCAACTATTATTGGAACATTTGCTTCGTTTGCCATTTCTATACTTTGAACAGTTTGTTTCATAACACCATCATCAGCAGCAACAACAAGAACAATTATATCTGTTACCTTAGTACCTCTTTCTCGCATGGCATAAAATGCAGCATGTCCAGGAGTATCCAAAAAAGTTATTTGTTCACCATTGCCTAATGTTACTAAAATTTATATCTTTAATAAATCTTTAATTCAATTATTTGAAATGTTTTGCATATCATTGTTATTTGGTTATCATTGTTATATTTAAAATTGTATTAAGGTGTATACTGTTTGCAATTACGATTTAAAAAATAAAATAAAAGATTGTATACCATTAAATGCTCCAATATGTTGAGTAATTCCACCAAATTCATTGTCTGCCACTGATGTCATCCTTAAAGAATCCAATAATGTAGTTTTTCCATGATCAACATGACCCATTATTGTAACAATAGGATGTCTTTTAATAAGTACTACAGGATGTGGTGATTCACTAAAGTAATTTTTCAATAAATAAGTATTAAATATAATAATAATTGTAATACATAATTGTAATAATTAATTGTACTACATAAAAATACTGTACTATTTTAAAATATCTTCTAACTGATAACATGTAGAATTAGAATTATTTTTATTTTTTTTATCTGATATATCTTTATAATTATATCCCAACATAGAGACAACCTCTTTTATAATATCAAAATCACTTACAATGGAATCAAACTCATTTTTTTTGTAATCAATTTCAGAAAGTACTTTTATAATTTTTTCAACTGGTTCTTTCATTGATATTGCCAACTCTATCACAGTCATATTTTTCCATATAAGTGTTGGTTTACTCAATATTTTATATTTGCGTTGTCTTAATTTAAGTTTCATCGTATCTGTCTTTTTAAGAAAAATAAAAAATATAAAATTGAATTAAATTTTATTTAAAAATTTTTAAATTATGAATACTTATTGCTTACCAATTCTTTAAAATACATAGGTGTATTATGATAATTAGATTGCAAACATATATTCCAAATAGTTTTATTAAATTTTCTTGTTTTATTTTTTCCAAGTACACTAAATAAAAAACTTGGAATATTAAAATTTATATTAGAAAGTAATAATTTTTTTACCAATGAAATTTTGTTATAACTATATTATAAAGTATATATAAAAAATATAAAAATATTAAAAATAAAACTACTTAAAATTTCATTTTATATTTTATTTTAAATTTGATTTATTAATTGTATTATTTGATTACTTCATAATTAATTTATATGTGTTAAATAACGAATTAATATTTATTATTTACCTGTTTTTTAAGTATTTACTGATCATTAATACTATCATATTAATATTTAATAATCGTTTTAGTTGACAAAAGTAGTTTAGTGATTCTTCAGTTTGGTTAATAAAATTAATACATTTTCATTAGATTTTTAAATATATAATTTAATTTTACAGATCTTTCATTTTTTAGATATTATTTATTACAGAGAAACGATTAAAATTGTCATTTGGTCACAATGGTTCAATTTATATAATAACTTTAAACTTATTAATAGAATAAACTAGTTTCTTAAAATTAAAATTATTCTATTTATTTTTTTATAACGAAAATATTCATTTACGCCTGTGTATCTATTCGAATGGTTGTATAAACGTATAAAAAAATCAATTTAGGCTAGAATGTGGATTTTATTATTGTGTGTTCTTCTATATATTTTGATAGAAACTTTCGAAATGAGCTGAAGTGTATTTAAGTTATATATAAATTAAATAATAATACTTAATATATATAATAAATAAATATAATAAATTATATACTTTTTAATACTTATATGGTATTTAAAAGAATATTTAAAATAATGATCGCCAAATTATAGAATGAAGTTATTTAAGTATTTTTGTCATTACGTTATTGATAGGGTTATGTAAAAAAAATCAGTAAAGAATAAACAATTTCGAAAAGCTAATTTCGAGCTAATATTTGCCGATAATTAACCGATAAGTTCATTATTGTATTTGTTATAAGTTCTTTATAAATTAATGAATGTCTGAGAGTGACTTAGAGTGTGCTAACGAATATACTAGCCTTATGGATAGTCATGTTGGAACTGAACTTTGCACAGATAGTGCATCATTAGCCATAAAACATAAAATAGGCTCAAAAGTAGCTAGCAGTATTGAAGTATATTTTAAAAATTTATAACATGTATTATAAAAATTTAATATCAAATACAAAATTAAAGTACAATCCCTATATTAAATATCTTAGATGGAAAATGGTATACCTGAAGTTCATATTGAAGGTGATATTAATAGAAATCGAAGAGAATATCAAGGATCCAGTCCACTGGGGAATCCAATAGATGAACAAGATGAAGTAGAAGAAGAACTAAAATACGGAGCTGAACATGTCATAAAATTATTTGTTCCTGTTTCATTATGTATGTTGGTAGTTGTATCTACAATTAGCTCTGTACGCTTTTATACTCTTAAAGGAGTTTACTTGTATGTATATTATTTGTATATAATAGTCAGATTTTTTTAAATAATTGAACATATGTATTATTTATAATTTGTATTAAAAGAGTATACACACCATTCCATGAAGAAACAACAGATTCAGGCACAAAAGCTTGGCAGGCTTTTGCCAATTCACTAATATTAATGGGAGTGGTAGTTTTTATGACTGTGATATTAATTGTTCTGTATAAATACAGATTCTACAAAACCATTCATGCATGGTTGATCATTAGCTCTTTAATACTCCTTTTTCTATTCACTTCTTTATATTGTGAGTAAGTAAAATGATTTGAATTTAATTTCCAAATATAAGTTTTGTATAAAAAAATTAAAAAAAAATATTATTCTAATAAAGCAATATGTTATAATATTAATTGTAATATGTATAGAGTTGTATTAAAAGCTTATAATATACCAATGGATTTAATAACATTAACTATTGGATTATGGAATTTTGGAGTTGTTGGCATGCTATGTATTCATTGGGAAGGTCCATTATTTCTACAACAAGCATACCTTATTTTTATAGCTGCTATGATGGCTCTTGTTTTTATTAAATATTTACCAGAATGGACAGCTTGGACTGTCTTAGCTGTCATAAGTATTTGGGGTATGTTATTACATAGATTTTTAACAAGTATACATACAATTTTATAAAGTAAATTATAAATTAATTTAAATTAATATTTATTAATTATTTATTATGAAACGTAAAGGATTTTATTATGCACTTTAGTAAAAATAGCTTAAATTTTATTCATTAATACTTATAACTATTTTATTTAAAAATAAAATTTTTCTTTAATTTTATTTAATTTGTTGCAATATATTTTAACTTATTTATATTTACAATTATAAACATATAAACTAATTTACTAATATTATATTACAAAATTTATATAAAGAAATTATTACAATATTCTTCTGATTATTAAATAATAAAATTTTCATAATTCTTTTTAATATCAATGATGGATTTTATGTAATATTAAAAAAAAATATATATGAAGATTCTACTAGTTGATATTAGATTCCAATTAACAATTGTAAATTAAATAATCAGTTATTTTATAGTAACAAATATCTCATTTTAAAAATTAAATATTATCTTTAATATTTAAAATGATAAAATTTAGAAATTATGTAAATTGAATTATTCTCTAATGAAATTATAATTAAAAATATGACAATTAATTAAAAGAGTAGAATAATTGTTTTTTATTGTTATCAGATTTAATAGCAGTTCTGACACCAAAAGGTCCACTAAGAATTTTAGTTGAAACTGCTCAGGAACGAAATGAGTCATTATTCCCTGCATTGATTTATTCATCAACTGTTATGTATGCATTTACCTTAAGTTTTACGGGATATATATCTGCAGCTACAATGGCTAGTGGAGACTCTGGTACTGGGGACAGTATATCATCTCCTGCCAGAATTCAGCCTCAAAATCAGACTAACTCTGTAGCTAGTGATGCAGAAGAGGGTGGGTTTACAAGAGAATGGTTGGAAACACATGGTATGATAATTTATTTTTGCATTTAATTTGTAGTATTATTCTTCTATTATATTCTGTTTTTTACATTGAAAATGTTACAATCAATTTTTTATATAAGTTTTTAGTTATAAATTAGTTTAGTTTGAAAAATTTATTAAATTTATCTATTCTCAGTTGATCGTAGTACACGCAGAGCACAAGAAATTAGGGAAAATGTTCAGGCCAATCAACCAAATACAGTACAGATTGACTCTTCATTACAGCAAGCACAAGTTAATCAGCAACAGATAATGCAACAGGAGAGAGGAGTAAAACTGGGATTAGGAGATTTTATTTTTTATGGTGTACTTGTTGGGAAAGCTTCCAGTTATGGTGATTGGAATACAACTTTAGCATGTTTTGTTGCTATATTAATTGTAAGAATGAAATATGCATTTAAATAATTCGAATAACAAAAAAAAAATAAAAATCTGTAATTAATGGAATGTTCTTTTCAGGGATTGTGCTTAACATTACTATTATTAGCAATATTCAAAAAAGCTCTGCCAGCCTTACCAATTTCAATAGCATTTGGATTAATATTTTATTTTGCAACATGTGTAATTGTTGCTCCATTTTCTGATAGCCTTGCTAGTGAGCAAATATTTATTTAATTTTCTGTTCCATAATAAATGAAGCTCTAATTTATTAATTACAGATTAAAAAAATTTTCATTAAAAAGATTTACAATATTAATAATTTAGTCTATAAAAGAGTCCTACTTATAAATAACTTTTTAATATCATAATATAAATTATAAATAAAAAAATTAAGTTGATTATTCAATTTTCCAAAAAATACAAAATGTTTATTTTTATTACACATTTTAGGTTCTATCATATTTTTATTATTATTGTAATAACAGACATTTAATTTACTTTATTTTTATTTGCAAAATAGTATTTTATAATATATATTTCACAAAAGATGATACTCAATATGAGGTGATAAATGTTTAGAAGTCAACAGTAATTTATTCTTCTTGGGCCATATTTTTTTAAAATTTTATGTTTTATTAAATCACTTCTCTCTATGATAGCTTCTCCCTTTTTCTAAAATTTGTATGTGCTTTAAAATATGTTCATACAGCCATAAAAATATCTGAGAATTGTAACCTTCTGATAATATAATTCGTAGTTATATATGATTGCAGCAAAGCATACTATAACTTTATAATATGTACAAAACAATATTTGTTATTCTTTTATACTTTAATTATGTTTGGGGAATAAACACATTTATGCCTTCGAGATATAATTATTTTTATTTATAATAAATTTTTATTTAAATATTTACTTATGTAATAAATAGATTTCATATGATTTTATTATAAATTACAATTTAAAACTATACATGTTTATTCATCAGAATGATAGTCCCACTATTAATTACTCTTTATTAAGCAAACTATCAAAATTTGAATATTAAATCATTGAATTCCAACAAAATTTGTGATCACCATACTTTTAAACTGTTAATAGTTTTTCCTAAATATAACTTAATAGTAATATTTAACAGAAATATGATATTTGAGATATAAAAATAAATTTTGAATAATATAATACTAGAAAAGATAACAATAACAATTGCTTTTTATCTAATTATTTATGTATGTTATTATTGGTTATAGTTTCGTAGTCAAATTTCATATATACGCACGCATGTAAGCAGCGTTCATTATATACGTAACTTACATGAATATGTATGCATCCATATGAACAGATATATAACATAAATACATAAATTTGTATAAGAATTAGTCTACAAAAACATTTAAATTTATTATGTATAACAAAATAATTATTAAAAACTATAATTTAATTCGTAATTGATTGGGTTACTTTATCTCTTTATTTTCTTTTTAGAAAATTAAATTTATTTGATAGAAATATTGTTATTGATTAACAATCAATTTTATCGTAAACATTAGATTATATAAATTATAATTCTAATTTATAAAAGAACTTTCTATTTATTAAATAATTTATACATAATTAAATTTTTAAATGAAATGTTTATTATAAACAATATAAACAGTATTTATAAAAGGTAATCAAAGTTTGTAAAAATGTATACATATATTAAAAATTGAAAATCAATTACTCTTGAGTTTAAAGAATTATTTTTAAACAAGAAATGTATTAATTATGAATATAAGAAATAATAGTTACAGTATATAAATAAAACAAGGTTTGTTTTTATAAATAATTAAAATAAAATCCGTAAAGTACTTTCTGACAAAGTAGTAGTTAGCATTTTACTTCAGCTGCTAGCTTGTATTACTTTGGTATATACTATTTGCAAATATGCCATTTTATAAAGCTTTCGAATCAACACTAGTAATAATTAGACGCGTATAATAATTATGTACATCTCTCTCCAAAATTCACTTTTTTTTAACACGAATGCTGCCGTAAGTATGAAAAGTATTATAAAAAACTACGAAACGTAGTTAAATCTTATTTATTGCATCGGCGAACAATTCTAACTAGTGCCGTATTTACTGCTTTCAAAAGTACCACGACGAAAAAAGGAGCTAAACTCGAGCAATGACTGCTTGTCAATGTTATTCAGATTACCTTTAAATTTGTGAAGGGACTGACAATTGGGAAGTTCTGAACACATTTGAATCAGTTGTCGCAAATATTCCTCGAGGCGCTTGCGACGTTGACGTGCTATTACCTCGTATCTCGCGAACATCTGTCGTGGTGGGAATCGGATGCTCGATACCTGCAGTCATTGTTAATTTACTAACATAGAAATACGAATCTTTATATTTTAACATACAATTACAATCATCCATGAAATGATCTAAGGATGCAGGAGAAGAATTTCACCTGTATATGTATATATATAAATGCATAATGAAAACAGTTTTTCATTTGCAGGAATAGATACATATTGCGAAGCGACGCTTAAAAAGAGCAGAATATAATTTCTAACCTTGGTACCATAGGTTTGACGCATCATGACGTATAACTCCCGAAATCTTCTATACCTGCGTAAGAGGGTCCAACAATCGTCAGTGGCAATGACACGCACTTCGTATTCATAGTGACTGGAAGTGCCGGCACCTCGTATAACGTACGAAGGCACGCTTATGATCACATTGATAATACTGTCAGCATCAGCAATTAGTGATGGTAAAGAGCGCGTTAACGTCAGGGCGTACGGACTCGTTAATCCTTCACCCCGGTTCTGACTCTAAAAAACAATGTTTTGTTTTTTATATGTATGCAATTATTTTTATATGATCTTACATAAAATTGATAGAAAAAGATAGTTTGTTACATAAATATATTAGATAATCAATTTATATGTATTTACATTTATTAGTAATTTATATTTATATGATTAGTAAATTATTTGATAGATTTAATTTAATTTTATAAAATTTGAATAAATAAAAATTCAGTATGAAAACAAAAATTGTCAATTTAATAATCATATTTTAAATAAAATCTTAATATATAGGTATAAATAATAAATAATGAATAACTGTATTAGTAAGAGAGTAAAACTTAAGAACAAGCTTTCGATTTCAAGATTGAATGTTTCACCGATAGATAGACGGAAGAGTATCCTCTGCTAGAAGATTGATTTAATACGATGTTCCGGATCTTTTTATTCTTATCATCATTGTTCAATTGTCTCGGCCTCGAGCGAGATCTTGTAACATAGTTGGTGAAATTTGTTATATTAGCAATTGATTCATTTTGGCTCAATTCAGCCGTTCTTTTATCATCCTTATATCCTTTATCATAACAAAGATTCGATGCTGGTTCTGAATTTCTCGACAGTCTTTTACAAACGTTTTTGTTGAAAATTTCCGTTGAGGCTTTGTTGTGCTGGGCACTCTCATTTTTATCTTCTTGCTCGAGTAACGAGAATTCGAGTTCGATTTGCTGCTGCTGGAGATCTTGTAGTACGATTATTTGATGATTAAGCTCTTCTTTAGATGATGGATTTGACTCCAGACATTTCATCACAAGGGTGCGCTGATAAGCAATCTTTTGATTTAGACGATTCATGATTTGGCTGCGCTCAATCATCGAATCCCTCCTTGATGTTAATTGAGTCATACCGACCTGCTTTATTATACCTAGCTCCGATGATGAGCTCATCTGTAAATAGATGCATAAGTTTCCTTCATTTGTACTTTCATCTTAAATTACAAATGCTCCGAGTAAGACTATACATTATATATTTTTATCCATTACAGTATCAACCAATACGACGGACAAAATAGATAATTATTTTTCTAGATCCAATCTAACCAACCATAATTAAAATTATAACATAATTTATAACATATGTAATTTGATATTTAAAAATGAATAATTATTAATTAACACAGCAACAAATTAATTTTTTACAATAAATTAGTTAGTGATGAATATGTAAAAATGCTAGAAATTGGATAAATTATCAAAGCATAAATGTTCAAAATGCATAAATGAAATGGATAAAATCAAATGGATAAATGTTCAAAGCAATATGTTTTTAAAATGTAGCATATAAAAAAAATTTAATATTTTCTTATATAACAATCTGTCATAATTAGTAACGACGACACACAGATATTTAGTAAAGGTAATACTACCTCAACATCTCTGCTGGATTCGTAGCAGGTCCTATTATCCTTAGATGAAGAACTACAATGTTGAAAGAATTGAATGTCTTCAGTGGAAGTACGAAAGTTCAGTTCACTGTCATTTTTATTATCCTTATTATTTTTTGATTGAGTTTCGACGTGCGGCACTCCTTTATCTAGAAGCACTGATAATTGAACACGAACGTCGGGAGAATTAGCGGTAGCCGTGTGAAAGGTCTCAGCAGTATCGATGATACTTTCGAGTTCCGGATATACAATATTAAGAGCTGCGGCAATTTTACACTTCCGTTGTTCACTAGGTCCGAGCTCTAAATCTGAAAGTCCTTCATCGCTGCCTTCGGCACCACTGATTTTTGAAAAGTCGTCTCTCGAGAAAGCAGGCAGTGCCTGCTTCAGATTTAAAGACAGACTACATTTACGTCGCACTATCTCTTCAAGCTGGTCTTGGGAACGAGTTGCTAGCAAAAACTTTTTGTCTGAAATGCCGTCCTGATTCATCTACAATATTTTACGTGTTAATCGTTATGAATATAATATTGTTAGACACACTCATGAAAACATTTAAATTTTATTTTCGACATTTATTGAAACATAAAATGAATGGTTTATTGACAAGTTATTGTATAATATTGAAATGAAAATTATAATAGATCTAGATTTTTTTATGACTCGTTATTGTGATTTGCATAATTAAATGCATTATTCTATAATCTTTCACCATTAAATTTTCATGTTTAATCATATGTCTATTCTAATTTTAATTTAATTTATATTTATAGTTCTAGTTTTATAATTATAATATATTTTATAATTAAATATACTTCTAGAAATAACTTAAACTGATGAATACTTACACAATCGATTTCTTTTTGTTTTTCTATTAAATCCATTAATTCTTCATCCATTTTATCGATTTTGCCTTGATGGACGTTCAGGGTTTTCATTTTTCTTTGCAATTCAAAATCTAGTGCCGCTAGTTCTTTCTATATAAATATTGTTAATTAATTACGTCTCTTTTAAATGTTATAAATGAAAAAAATAGTACTAACGTTATTGTTGACGAATGTCTTTATGGCATCTATTGATTTGTCATCATTAATATTCGACCAAGATTCAGGTAAACTCCCTTCACTTTCTGTGCCCTCATCGGTCTAAAAAAGAAAATTAATTTTTTTTTCTAATTAGTAGAATCCACAAAATTTGTCATCAAATCGCTGTTTCCGAAAATGTTAATAAAAATTTTCATATTTTTTTAACATTGAATTATACGTAATATATTATTATTATTTTAGGCATAAAAAATCTATTCGAAACTAAATAATACATAATTATTGATTTTTTTATTCAAATTGTTGATTAATTTCAACAAGTTAAATATTTCTTTATATTTAAATGAGATTTCTTTTAACGCTCTTTTTTATATAATTTTATCAAAAAATGTTTTTGTAAGCTTATGCAATAATAGGCCTAAATAATTTAAAAAAATAGATAATTAATACAGATATTTAAACAATAATCTGTAAACGTATTTATAAGTTTCGAATTTAATAATACATTTTTTATTAATCATAATTTCCATCTGTCATTTCACTTGAAATGTAATAAAATTACGTTGTATTCGATAAAAATGTTTAACATACATTTAAATTCACCGGCAATAGTTAATTTTATATTTTAAATGAAATTGGATATACCTGAAATAAATATTTGTTTATTCACCGTATGTGTACTTGTATTTAAAAGTGAGTAGATCAATCCACCGTATTCATGATAATGAATGACGTACTATAATAAAAATGCCTATCATTACCTGTTGCTTCGTGGTCGTTCTGGTTCGCTCCGTGCGATTCTGTATGTTCATGAACTCTTGGAATTGACGATGCTTGGACTGTAGAGTGGTGCGAAGAGAGGCGACTTCCCTACCCAAACTTTCTCCCTAGCCACACACACACACACACACACCGATGTGTTAAATAAAAAACAAAAATAGAACTAAGAATAATAAATAGTGTGAGGAAAGTAATAATGGAATAATTAAGAAGTAATAAAAGAATACAATGGGTATTAAATAATATTAAGTAATCGATAAGACTTAATTCAAAACCTATTATTTATGAACATACCACGGATTGACAATTAAAGAATAAAAAATAAAAAATTGTGTGCTATATTATACATAGTTTACTAAATAATAATAAATTAATAACTGAACTATAAATATTATGCATCTAAAGAATGTGTGATTATTTTAACATAAGCACACAAGGTTTAACTAATAGATAGTTATCATGCTATTTTATTGTTAACATGGAGAAAAACTTATTTTCTTTGCACCAAGTACTATTCTGCACTGGTGTTTAAATGTTTAAATATAAAACGCATACATTTACTTATATATTTTTATTTTATAGGTGGCTCTGTAATATAATAAATATTACTTCAATGTTTGCAGTATTTCATATTTCATTTACATACGATTTGCTTACTCTATGAAGTAAAATAATTACATCACAAATATTGTTAAAAAATAAATATTGCAAATAAATATAAAAACTTTTTAATAGATCTTATTTTTAAATATTGGTTCCAATTGAATATGCTTAAAATCTTTATTTAAACATAGAAGGCGTATATTTATATTAAAGAACTACACTATTATTTTAAAAAGTAGCATTTTGATAAATTAAGATTAATAAATTACAAAAAAAATTACTGTTTAAATTTGCATCAAATGCTATATTCTAAAAATGATACCGAATGTAAGCTTTGTCTCCATGTAATTCCTTTTTACTAAATAAAATCAATGCAACGTGTTGAGATTTTTCTAAAAAAATACCTGTAATAATAATTTCGAAATCATTGTTATACATAGCTGGGCACCTTACCTGCAAAATTTACGCAAAAGTGTCGAACATCTCATCACCGCATCCATTTATTTCTTATTCGTTATCATTCATTTCGTATTTCCCATTTCACACTATTATCGCAAAAATCAAGTGAATCAAGCCAATGTATTGTTCAACCATATATATTCATAATTAATGCATTGGTTATCGATAGAATATGGATAAACAAATGAAAATCTTGGTAAGTTGAAAGTAGGAAACAGTAAAAAAAGGGATGTGTATACCCTTTTGTTCATCCCTATTTTTACTGTTATATACATGAAGGGATAAAGAATAAGTAAGATATTGAGTGAGTGAAAAAGTGAATGCAAAAAACAGACAGTGAAATACAGTGTTAGTTATTTTACAGTTTGTGAATTCAGTGTGAATTGAAATACAGTGTTAGTTATTTTACAGTTTGTGAATGTGTTAAATAATATTTTGTATTTATTAATTGAAGTATCTGTTAAATTGTTCATGTGATCAATAATAGATATATAAATGGATATTATATTTTATTAGAAAGCCAATTTAATCAATTATAACAATTTTTTACAAACTGATAGTACAAAATAATAAGAATTACTAATTACCAATAAAGAAGAGAATAAGTGTAAGTCAGCTGTTACCGACTAAATAACTTTATACATTAAATTATGTTTATCTGAGACATTGGATATTTGGATTTATTTTCCAGAATTTTATTCTCAATATAATTGATATTCAGAAAATCGTATCAGCTCTTTCTTAAAAATATCAATTATAGTAATTATGAAATGTTGTCAATCACTTTCACACGTGTGTAATTAAAATGGAAAATATAGTAATATTCAAATTCAATATTCTATTAACGTAATAATAATCAAATAAATGCGTTACAAAAAAAAATGGTTTCTTATTCAGTCAGTAAACAGGTGATTTTCACGATTTATCAATATACAAAATGATTTTGTTAGAATCTCTGTAACAAATTTTAGAAAAGTAAACAGTGCTGAGATAATTAAAAACAAAATAGTATATAAGAATATAAATTTTCACCCAAACCAATTTTCATATAAAAAATTTATTGATATATATATCATAACATAATAGTAATAAATTAATTTTTTGGCACTATAAATCCATTAGTATTGTCAAAAATTAATCATTCAAAATTGATATTTTTGACAAGTGATACGCAGTCAAATTACTTATTTAAGTAATATTCTTTCAAATTATAATACGAATCTGATATACTAGATCCGGTAGTATGCATATTTTCAAATACGCGGTAGATAGAAACACCAAAAATGAATACAGAAGATTATTCTTGTTAGAATGAACATATTTTAAACTAAACTCGTTTTTAGATCTATTTGTCATATCTTTTATGTTATAGTTCCTGATGATTATGAAAATCTGTTTAATTGACTTTAATATTATTTTAACTATCTTCCAGTTTATAATTTCACGTGTGAAAATATTTTATATCTACTCACTATTATACAATAGTTTGAATAAAATATTTAATAACAAATCAAAATATAGTATTTTTAATTTTCTAATAATTTAAAAATAAATGCTAAATGCGTTTATCTTTAATATGAGACTAGAATAATTTCATTTTATAAAAATATGTTATGTTTAATAACTAATGTATATTTTATAATTTAATACATAATTGTAATAATTGCTACATACTGTGTATTAAACATTCTACACAAGAATTATATCATTAACATTATACATAGGTAAATGCAGTTTAATTATTATGAGTTTAAATAATACTATTTTACCAATATTTTTCGTATTTCATGTTATTTTGATAAGTTAAAATGAAATGTTGTCAGTTAATTCATTTGATTTGATAAATTATTCATATTTTAGTTATGCTAAAAAATTGTATTTAACATGACAGATTATAATATGTTATTTTATACTTTGAAGCTTATCTATTAAATTGTTTTTATATTAAATGATTTTGAAATATGATAAATAAAATAATAAATTGATGTGATTATCGTTAAAGTTCTATTTTCAAGAATAGATCAAATTTATAAAAATAGAATAATATGCATACTAAGTTAAGTATTCAACTTGCTAATCTATTTTTACGGAATTATGATTGTGAATTATAATTGTGATAAATATTAAAACAAAAAAATATAAAAAATTGTTTCCGTTAAAAATTGGAAGTAGATCGAAACAAATTATTCTTCAATTAACAAAATTCTATTTCTGAAACTAAGCTTTTTATAAAAGATTTAATTGATAAGTATTGCAATATAAATTTATAAAAAAATTGGAAAAACTAATATTTTTTATTTAGAGTAATAAACAATCCACTTTTAATAGTAACGCATTTTCAAGTATAAAATCTTAGATTATACAAAATATTTTTATTACTAAAGGCAAAGATTTTAACTTAAATTTTTTTTTAATATTAGAGGAATATAATTCTTTTTGTAAATTTTATAATTGCAAAGTATAATATTAATATCACAAGAAAAATGTAATAATAATCTTCGTAATAGATCAAAATTTATCTGTGGAGAATATTAATAATAACTGATAACATTTAATTTATTAATAAATTTTTACAATTATAAATTTAGAAGATCTTGATTTTACTTATTATGTATATGAATAATTAACGTATTAATGTTATAAATTCTATATATTTATATTTAAAAAATTACGGCAAATATATATGCTTTTAATAAATTATTATAAATAATGATTAATGCACATTGAGTTAATATAAATAAGTATTCATTGTATACAATATATTCTTATTTACTTTATTTTTATAAATAAGAATAGGCATGCGCAGCAAGCATTTGTAAATACAACTAGTATATAAAATTTATGACTGTTTTATTTATCATAAATAGAGATTGATACTTGTTTTTACTCAAGCGAATTTTCATAAGTCTATTTTGACCGTTCATATGACCAGCGGCTTTTTTATATTGATCTACATAATTTACAGCAGATCTTATAATGTTTATTAATAAAATAGAATGCAGTATACACAAGATATTTCAACTTTCATTTATGCTTGCATTTTTATTTAAACAAAACAGTAATGAAAGAAACGTTCATAAATAATGCAAATTATAACAGATTTCTCCGATATATCAATATGAATATTGTCTTTTAATCGACTATTTCATATTTTCATAGTGATGACTTATCAAAATAACAACTAAACGATGCACTTAAAAATTATGACATAAAACTGTAAATCTAGAAATATCAATATACGCCTTATAGTATTGTTACTATAGAATACATGTTAATTCTTTCAATTGTGTAAATGCGTAAGTATCTATTAAATAATATGTAAACCTATATAAAATGTTAATATCATTTTATAAAATAATGTTACTCTTGAAAAAGAATTAATATTTTATAAATACTGTAGTTGAAAAGAAAATCTCTTAACCAATTTAACCATTCAAAATTTAATTGAAAATGAGAAAAAATAATATCAATCCATTTCCAATAAGTCTATTTATTTAAATCGTATAAAATTAATTTCAATATTATAAACTCAAATATGTCAAAATAAAAATTCAAATCGTTAATCTTAATAATTAAAAATAAAAAGTGGATTGGAAATATTTTCTGGTTGAAGATTAAAATATACAATAAAGATAAAAATCTATTAATTAATATAAAAAATGTAGGTTACTCTATAAATAACAATTTTTTAATTGTCCATTGTCGAATATATATATATATATATATATATATATATATATATATATATATATATATAATAGATTTACAAAAAATTAAAGAAAATGAGAAATCAGAATCAGTAAATTATAATTCGTCGGAATTAAAGAAAAATAAAAACAAAATTAATATTACAAGATCTTATAAAATTGTAAACAAATAGAGCTTAGTATTTATAGTTTTGTATTTGAAAAAAAATATAAATGTGATTATAAATATAACATTACGTTAAGTGTTGCAATATTATTGATGCAAAACATTATTGTTAGGTGAACTGTTGGTTCTCATTTTCAAATTTATTTAATTAAACAAAAATAATATTTGCCTTACTTTTAGCATAATAATCGTTTGATAGCAAAAGAGAAATTACTCTTTTATACTATTACAATACTATTGATAACTATAATAACATATTAACCATGTTTTAAATGGAGCTTGTAATATTCACAGATTTTTAGATTGTCTTCACGAAATCGAGACTTCAAAAAATCTTGCCACACATTAACAAAACCGTCGTATTTCGTATTTAAACTAAAATTTAATCGAAAACTTGGTAAAGTTGTTAGACCTTCAACCACCATTTGTCATTTTCAATGAAAAGGAGACGGCTCAGTGACTCGCAAATCATGCACAATAGGTACGCGGAACTAGCCGCTTAGAACTTGATGGCTTCTAGACTTTTAAAGTTGTCCAGATGGATAATTACGAGATGAATGTGGGATTCATAAGGAAATAAGAAGGCCCAGGCGTCATTGAGACAGGGAGAAGAGATTTTTTGTGTCACATCGCCAGGGGACAGACGTGTGAGTAAATTATGATATTACCCGAAAGACAAATGAGTACCCCAAGTGCGAAGAGGATCAAGTAAAATTGGTGGTTGACCGAAACACTCAAATGCCGAGTAGTAGCGGTCGTCGAGTCCATCTCATCACTTACTTGGGTCATTTCGTCGCGACGTTCTTGTTCAAGCAGCCGGCGCCGCTGGTGCAGTTCGCGTTGACGGCGCTCTAAGGCGACGATGCCCTCAGCCCATTCGCGCCATTGAGCGCCCCACTCACGCTCTAGCTCACGCTGGGCCTCCTCGAGGGCTTCGCGCCGCGCCGTCCAACGCTCCTCTCGCTCCTCTTGTTCACGCTATAATTATATGTCATTACACTTTAATATAAGATTAAATGAAAACTTTAAAAGGTCTGAAATCAATCTGCAGTCAATCTGTATGCACGTATTGCAACTGTTAGATTTATTCTATTCTGATTTTATACACGTTTTCTTATAATGTATAATAAGATTTCTATCTTTATATATCAAATTCTCATTATTTTTCAATCAAAAGTAAATTTTAATTTGTGAAAATAAGCTTATTTTTTTTAACGAGACCTGTAATTCGAACATTTCAATTTTGCTTGTATTCCAAATAATCGTGAATGCTTCCTTTATACATAATATACTTAACACAGATAGGATAATGAAATTCTTGTAGTTGATATTATTTATGTTTTAAAGAAAAATACTGATTTTTTGTAGAAGTTTTAAAGGTATATTTAATTACCGAAATATGAATGTTAAATCCATTAATTCAAATTAGTATCCTTTCAAATCAGCATATTCTGTCTCTATCTTATGGCAAACTATGCAAGGTAAAAAAATATTTAATACATATCAATACTTTGAAGTCTTCCTTTTCCTTAATTAAAGCTGCTTTCTGTTGCTCAAGTTCCTCGAGGACTCCTAAATCCTCACTGGAGTTTAATAAATTATCATTAGAACTCGATGTACGCAAATCCGAAATGCTCCAACTTAGGAGTGAAAGGCGAGAAAGATTGACCACTGTAGATTGGAGGTTGCCATTACCGAGACCGCCTTCCTTGCGCAGTTTAGCTGCTTCCACTGGATCATTGTAACGAAACATGTTATTGCGGCCAAGTAGTATAATGCAGCCTTGAGAAAGTCGCGTCAATTTGTCCACTTGTGCTGTATTTATCCAGCAGTGAACTGAGAGCGGATGCAGAGTTGCCACACCATCCTCAAGCTCTACTATGCAATGTTCCGGCTCTACATCAATACCCGTAAGTACGATGTCCTAGGGTCAAGGATTTATGTAAAATTATAAATAATAGAATCCAATCAAATTACCCACGAGCTTTTAAATAACAAATATTTAAACTTGAATTTCTCTATATATTATTTACCATATAATTACACGATATTACAATACATAATACACAAAAAGTTCAAATTGTAGTTTAAATTTAAAACAATTACATTTGTAAAAGCAAAATATAAATATAGATCCAATAGTTGTGCTGGATGAGTGTAGATGAATTAGTATTATAAAAATAGTTTATTATTATAATATTACTTTTCCATTTATACACGATTAAATATTTAATATAAAATTTAAATTATTTTAAATATAAAATAAATAATCGATTTTGAAAATTTTTTGTGGCTAAATACCAAGTACTATTAAAATTGGTGTATAAGTACATGTATTGCGTATAAGTAAAACTCAGGAGTTTCATCCAAAAGAAAAAAATTAATTAAGTACTATATGCAAAATAGTTGAATGAAATCTTGCATACAGTCATGAAATTGAAATATTCTGTTTCGTTAAAATAAAAAAATTATTTTCCATCTCAAACCTGTGTAGATACTGCCTCTTTCGTGCCAATGAGTGTTCTGCCTTCCTTCAAATGATACAGTGTGACACCAGTACTTAGTAAATCGTCGTCGATTCCAACGAGGTGAGGCATTTCTGAATCGAGTACAACACCCACACCACTTTTTCTAAGCCCGAGAGCACGTTGTTCTGAAAGAATTTTCTGCGTCTCTCGCCATTTCTCGGCCCACTCCTCCGTCAGTACTTTCTCCTGTTCCTGCTTCTCATGAATTTGCGCGAGCAAAACCTGTGGTCTTTCAATACTCTGAAATTAAATTAAAGCTGTAGTTTATTTTAATTAATTTCAGTGCTTAAGTGAATGTGGCTTTTTGAAACTATTACATAAAATATTATAAGATATAATGATTTTATATATTATTTTGGTAATAAATGATAGGAAAAATTTATCATTTAAAATTTAAATTATCATTTTTAATAGTGTAGATTTACATAACTAAAAATTTTAAAGAATGACATTTTCATCTTTCTATTTTTATTACAACATATTTCTAAATTGGAAATGAAAATTTGCATTTCATAAATATTTATCCTTAATACTATTAATATCAATACTTTTAAAATTTATAAACAAGGTTTTTCTCTTATAGGCTCTTATAAGCAAACAATTCTTTTAATAATAAAAAGAGATCACGTTTCAATTATTTATAAAAACTTTCAATTTTTTCTTCTCTCAAAACTAAGCTAAATTATTTGAAAGACTTACAAAATCCTTGCCAATGAGTGATTTTAGCTTCTGTATTTCTTCCCTGAGTTCTCTAATAAGTTTGACATTTGGATCCTCATTGATCGTCGGCTTGTTGATAATATTCTTGGCACGATTAGCGTATCTTAATGTACTGAGTGTTTCACCATAATTGCAATCAGCAGGACTTATTGCAGCAATCATAATCGTTTTGGAATTACCTCCAAGTGAATCTTTAAGTAGCCATGTAAGGACGCTATCGCGGTAGGGGATAAAAACACTGCGCTTAGAGCAATTAGCGTCACTTGTTGAGCTAAGCTCGGCAAGAGCTGAAATTACTGAGCCAAGAGTTACCAACGATTTATTTATGTGGGCACCTTCCTTCAGCCGTTGTCCTGTAGCCCCAGTCGCATTCGCTCGCTCGCTGCAACAAACAATAAAAATAATTTTTAACCAAGAAAACTTTGTCACGATGAATCAAGTCAAGAGTCTTTTATTATATGGATGATATTTTCTGTACTTCCTATTATTTCAATATAGATTTTTATAATTTTCACTATTAATTTAAATAATTTAAATAAATACTTTAATATTCTGAATAAATCGTGCATTTTTTATGATACTAATTAGGCTGTGTTTCGTAAGAAATTAGATAAACTACATTAATTTTAGCTATAAGACTCTTTAATAGTCACTATTTATCTGAAATTGTTATTCATTCATTGATTTAAAATATAATAAAATATATTAGATTAGCAGTGAATAAATCAATAATAATAATGAAATGATTGATAGGTCTTTGTAAAATACAAATATAATGGGCTAATTTTACCTGCCAGCCAAGTCAACAAGATGAACCTTAGACACAGTTTCAGATGGCATATTGTTTTCATTGAAACCGGCTTGTACAAATGTTATTGTAAAAATAGCATGACTTCGACTACTAACGTCATTCATGTTTGTGCTAGCTGTAGTTCTGTATGTGTTGCCTCTTATCATACATTGCTGAAAATGAAGCAAATATATCATTTTTATTATTTCAATTCTTAGCCCTTGTTTAGGATTAGACTAAAAAACTCCCAGAGATGTTCGGTGGGAGGATTGCTGACAAGTGGAAGGGGATGGCGCATTAATTAAATATTTAACACATAGTGTATCTTGGTATTTTTTTATTTATTTATTTACAAACTACACAATAAAGATGATTCTAAGATGGTGAATTTGTGAGGTTTCCGTTCCTTAATGGTTTCACGTGGAGATAGCGTACACTGCAAGTCGAGGTTGAAGGTTGTAAAGCTCTAGGTCCTCTTGGTGAAGTGCGCTTGATGGAATATTCTACACTGAGATATGCAAGGGCGTAAATCCTTGATACTCCTTGTATGGTGCCACGTATGACCTTTAATCCGGAGTATAGTTGCGATCAGTACGTCTTTGTACTTGAATCCAGGGAACAGACCCGAATACAGCAACGTTTAATACAGAAGCTCAAGTTTCAAATGCCAATGCACAAGCTTCAAGTTTCAAGTTTCGAGTTTCAATTTTCGAGTGCCAATGTACAAGCGTTGAGTTTCAATTTTTCAAGTACCAATGCACAAACTTCAAGTTTCAATTTTAAGTTTCAATTCAGAGTACAGTTCCGATCGCAGTGACGTCTTGGTGCTTGAATTCAGAGAACAGACCCGAATACAGCGACGCTTAATACAGTACAGTCATTTTTGTCTTACCCACTTGTGTGGTGAGTACGTAGGTGGTGCGTTTCTTATTTAATATTCACTCTTGAAATGCAATCAGCACTCTTGACTGCTTAAATGTGGCGTCTTTAAATTAGTTATAAATTATTTGGCTTCACGGTTGGCTTAAGATCTTATTATTGCTGAGTCTGGTTGATATGTGTATATGTGTATATTAGTAAAACTGATTGACTGGTATACGGCGGAGTTTAGTGGTTGTGAGAATAATAACTGATAACTGATTGATTGAGAAATACAGTGAGCAATAACTGATGAGTGAATAATTGGTAACAATACAGTGAGCACAGGTGCGTGGCGAGCTGCTCTTAAATATTCGCATGGCAGCTTCCAACGTTGGCAACAATGCACGGGCTTGTTGCTATGCTGAAAGTTTTGATGACGTCAGAAACTAAGCTCTAGAATATTCAGGAAGTCCAGGACACTGCCTTGGAAGAGTCGAGAATTTTCAACCGACGGTGCTATGCGGAAATATTGTAGTACACTACAAAATAAGGCATAGGTAGACTATTCAAGAATTCTCAAAATCAATGTTTATAAACATAAACGTCAGACGGCTTGTACTTTTCCCATTTTAAAATTCTTGGAAATTGCTCCAATCCCGAACAGCCCTCATCAATTAATTTCGGAAGTTTATGATATTATTGAATTTCTAAAATTTTATATTTATAAATAAATAAAATTAACGCGAAGTTATTTTTAATTTTATTTGAAAAAAAAAGTTATTAAAAATTATTAACCAAATAGAATTGATGAATGATAATTTTAATAAAATGTAAAAACCAAAAAACAAATTTTACCTGAATATCAGCGTAATCATAAACTAGATGACTGGATAAATCTTGTACATAAGGACCTCTCTTTGGATGCTCTCTGACCCGAAGAGAATGCGATACAGCTTGATCAGATCTCAAGAGGTCGCGTACCCTTTCATTGTGAATTTCCAAAAAAGAGACTTCCGTTCTGTAAGACGCACCACTTTCTTTACCAGTTATCATCCGTGCGAAAAGAGTCTTACATATACGAGGTATTAATCCTTGAGATTCCTGCACGAGTACAATAAACTCTAATTACAAGTTTAATAAGTCTGATAAGAATAAGCTTATTTGTATAATAGCCTAATTAAAATTTAATATACAAATGCGCTATTAGAAGTAATATTAGAAATTAATTTATCGATATATCTTATAGTGCTTGTATATAATTTTAATAGATATATTAACGAAATATTAAACATAAATTGCAGAAAAAGAATCTTACTGGCGAACCCATCATTGTAAAGGTCTTCCCAGAACCTGTTTGGCCATATGCAAAAACGCAAGCATTGTATCCTTCAAAGGCACTTTCGATAACTTCCGTCCCAAGATCGTGAAAGACCTTTATTATTCAAATATTAATAATTATAAACTTATGTATGCAAGATTACTAAATTTAATAATTTTTCCTGATAACTTGTTGTCAATGCAAAATTTTAATATATTTTAAGTTACAGTTATAAAACATCATTCTATAGGCATAGAAAAGTGAATCATTGTCACAATTAGGGATTCAATTTTATTTAGTTTATGTACATAATTCGACTTAGCATTCATTAAAATGGCATATATCTAAATTTCAATTTGGATTTTTTGTTTCTACGTTATGTATTTCTAACTGATGTTATAAAATCATAATATCTATGAAAATGGAAATATACAAATTTGTTCCTGCAAATAATATTGCAATTGAATAGATAATATAAAAACAATCAGCATTATATTATCTACATTACAATTTTAAATATTTACCCAATGTTTAAATAACGAACGGTAAAGAATAATGTAAAAGGTACATAAAATAACTATTTAAAAGTATAAATCAATATTCATATTTTAAATTAGCTTTGTGATTTAAAAAATTTAATTCCAAATTAAAAATTGCTTCCCAAGCAAATCTAAAGAAATTAATTTTTATTTAATATTGATAATTTTTTTTATTTTATAATGTAAAATTTATATTATATATATACCTGTTCTTGTGATGCATAATTGTCGTCAGCGTCATCAAATGACCAGTATGAATGATCAAATGTAAAATCTTTATATGTTTCTCTATCCGAATCTCTTGCGCTCCCTGGAATCTAAATAAAAGGCAATAAATAGTTAATAATAATAATAGATGAATCATTTATGTGATGTCAAAGTTACATTCATAGTAGTTGTGTTATAGTGTCATAGTGTTAGTATTAACGAACAAAGTTCAGTCATAATAGGAAGCTTCCTCATAGCCATCATAAGTGTATCGTAAAATAAAAATATATACGTTTATGGCAGGGTAAAACATTCATGTTAGCAAACTGACGATTTATTAATTCGGATAAAATTGTGATAAAAATAATTTTTTATGTATCAATCCCCTCAAATTGTTCAAGATTCAGAGAATCTCTCGAATGTTATCATTTGGGGAAAAATCCCAACGGCTATCATTTCAAAGAAAATCATCAACGGTTATCATTTCAAGGAATCAATTCAACGGTCGTTGGAGACTCGGAAAAGCCGGTACATCCGAAATGAGTGCACAATCACCTCCATTATTTCCCTCACCACAATTGAACCCATTGTTCTAGCGATATGATCGGCTCTTTGTCTTCAGCTAATAAAGCCCTCGCCTAGATATTTAAGGCAAGTGCATCATGAGATAAGCGCTACTCAGTCATGAGCCAGTCAGCCAAACCGAGTCAAGGAAGCATTGCATGGCCTTCAAATACTAGTGCAGTTATCGCAACACTCTTAGCAAAGTCGCTACGAAAGGTACAGTCAACAGCTTTATACTGAGCAGTGTTTCACTCTTACTAGTGCCCCAAGCACGAAGCTGTTGCAGGCCTCTCTCATACTAGGTGCACCCAGTGCACACACTCTCAGAAGAGCCGCTACAGAAGGCCCTCCTCATCCTTCCACACTACAAGACAGCTAGAAGGAGACTAGCAATCAAGTTACCACCACATACCACTACACGAAGAAGTGTTAAGAGACTTACGATCTCTCACTTTCAGTGTACACTGTAAATGTTACATTGTTGTTCTTCTCGTATACTACATCATTAAGAAAATGCCAAACCGTGAGAAGAAGGAAACAAGAGAAAGTTCAAATCCTGAAGTGCCTACAACACTCTAAATGAAGGGAAGGTGCAATCGTCACTCCAAATCGACCGTTATCCTTGACAACCCTGTTGGCCTCTGTATTCGCTAAAATCTCACCATCGACAACGCTACAAGCTCGTCTTCTAATTGATACTAGTTCTCAAATGACATTCGTACCAAAGGATCTCGTGAAGAAGCTCAACATACTTCGTCAACATTCCATCATCCTCATCTATGGAATCGGAGGATCTCGATCAACTCAGTTACAAGATGCTGTATCACTCATCCTACAATTAAATTATTTGAATTTCTCAGTCACATTTCTTGTTCACATCCTCAACACATTGACTGTTTATATCCTTCAAAACATCACATCAGGCATGGCCGTATCTGAGAAACCTAACACTAGCTGATCCAGAATATCTTACACCAAAGCCAGTGAATATTGTTCTTGGAGCAGATGCATATGCACAGATCATTAAGCCCAACATCATCAAACATTCTCCATCCATGCCAATATCGCAATTATCCATTTTTGGATGGCTTATACTCGGGCCTGTCAGTTAAAAAAATTGTTTGACATCAGTAGCACTCTACACGTCAACACAAGATGTAGAGAATACCTTGCAAGAACAATTGACAAGATTTTGGGTGCAAGAAGTGCTAAAGGTTAACTATCTTTAATACACACCGTATGAGCAATGGTGTGAGGATCATTATTCACGTTACTCAACAAGAAGATACATCGTCCGGATCCCACTCAAAGTATCCGTTGAGATACTAGAAGATTCTCATAACACTGTCCATTGCTATCTACAAAATTTAATATTTACTACCACAAAGTTAGAAGTGTTCAATGGCTCCAGCACATCAACAGAGCAAGATACTCGATCAATGACCTTATGCACACTGGAGCCATTTGAACCCAGAAATTTCAGACGTTTTAATCTGGATACGCCGACATCGATATCTGTTCCCTACAGACATTAAAAAAATGTATAGGCAGATAAAATTTGATAAGGACGACTGAGACCTGCAAAGAATCCTTTTGAATTGACGAACAAACCAAGGAAGTACCATATCACCTAACAACAGTTACTTATGGCACATGGGCTGCTCCATTTTGAGCAGTCAGAACATTGCTGCAACTGATAGAAGACGAGGGAGAAAAGTATCCCTTGGTATTGCCACTCATGGCAACTATGTCCATAACATCTTGGAGGTGTGGTCTAACTCTAATTCTAAACACAAATGCAATGTTTATTTCAATTTTAATTTGAGTTTTAATTTTGTAAAAAATTATAATTTTTGTTTTCAAATGAATAGAAATATTTAAGTAATCGCAAAAAGCTATATAAGATAAAAGCAATTCAATAATAAAAAATCTCTCGAAGAACAGACATTTATAGAAAATTTCTTGTTCAATTAAAATCAACTTAATTTAATACACAAATTTAATAATAATAATTACTGCAATATAATTTTGAAAATTGTAAAATATAAATATTTCAATGCCTTTGTTATATTAAAAAATATAGATAATTTCTCATTATATAATTCCGAAATATAGATAACTTTTTATGCTATAATTACTATTGATTTTCACATTGATTATTCAATTAATATTACTCATAATTACACTGATTCATTTGTAATGGAATTAAATACATTGTAATAAAACAGTTTTATTTAATAATAATAATATTCAATGAATAAATTAATTTTAATTTATAAAAATTTAGATAAATTTGAAAAGTTATTTCTATTAGTTATTTTATATGACTGTTTGTATGTGTATGTGTGTTCACGCGTGTGTGTACATTAGTACATATGATAAAAATATAAATGTAAATAGATGGAAGAGGATTTATAACAAGATCAAGAACTCGGAGCAAAATAGTGAGAGGTAAGTATCGGAATAAAGTAAATTGAATTTACGTACCCTTGTCGAAATTTATATAAATGAGACATTGCTTTTTGTTATGCTTGAATGCATGACGATTTTACACTCTTACCATTTTTCTATTTATATATAGGCAATATAGCTATACCTTGATATACCGTATATGAATCGTATACTCTAGTTAAAATACACAAATGTCATGGGCATTGAATTATGTTTATATAGTATCTAGGTGGGTGTATAATAAATTTGATTATACACATATGTATATCGACTACTAAAGTATGTTGTGTATAAATTTTATCAAGTATTTCATTTTATAATGCTTTGGTGTCTAATGTGTCAAAGATTTGATAGTGTATATAATAATCCAATTTTAGTCGTGTATCATGTCATATCTTTCCGTTTCATTTTTATTTCATTTGCCCTTTGAGAAAACTGTAATTATAAATTTGTATTTATAATTAACAAACTTTGAAATAAGAAAAATTGAAAATCCTTTTGAACTCTTTCAATGTAGTCAGTACTTATCCATAAATGTATACATTTGTATATGATTAAAAGTATTTTAAACAAATATATTACTTTTTTATTGAAGATCCGAGTTCGTTTATTGTCCATTTGAACGACAAGCTTTGCATTCATCGCCAGTTCCCTGCATAAAATAAAGTAAATTTATTATTTTCAAATCTGAAGTGTATGTAATAAATTATACAGTGTAAAAAAGGCATAAATGAAAGAAAAATACTTGAAAAACGTTTCAATTTTCTTGACAAAATTGGGTATATTTTGTATAATAAATATTATAAAAAGATAATTTGAATTGTATTTTAATATTATAATTAGATTAATCTACTAAGCATTATTATTAAAATAAATTGTAATAGATTATATATTCTTCGATGTAATGATAATTATGATAATACTTTAATAAAATTTCCAAAAAAAATTACATTTTTTAATTGATATTTTATGCTCAAATTACTAAAAATCTTTTGACACTGTCAATTTATGAAATTTTTAATGCCATTGGATTTTACATTGTTAATTTTTTTCTGAACTACTGAAAAAATATATTTAATTATGCAACAGTAGATACAAATATATCTAATTGTCCTTTATCTTTAGTAATGTAATGGATAGTAATTTTTAGTAATATATTTACATTGTTTGAAGCATGTAAACAACGTATTGAAGAGGTTTGCTATCCATTTGTACAATAAGATACATATTGTTGAAAATCATCCATGATAACAAGTGATTCAACTGTGACTATAATATCTCATAATATTAAATTTACTCAACAGAATTTCTTTTAAATTGTAACAATTCATAAAGGAAAGGCTGTTAAAAATAAATAAAGGAATTATAAATGATAGGATGTTATTTAAAAATATTTTAACAAATTTATAAGGCATGATGTTAAATATTTAACTGGTAAACATGTCTATATGGTAATCCAATTAATGTAAATTAATGTATATTTGAAATTAATCATTTTAATACATAAAAACTTGTATTTTAATAAATATTTTGTATTTATTTATTTTTATAAGTATTTAGAAATTACTTTATTTAATCACTTAAAAATCTAAGAAATATATTATATTTTTATTTCACTGAAATTATTAAAAATGTTGGTATAATTACAAATTATTCAACATAGTATTAAATAGAAAATAGTAATATTTACAGTATAAGTTAATATATTTTAAGAAAACCAACATGAAACTTCAAAAGCATATAATAATAATAATCGTATTGTAATATAATTATATTTGATTACAATTATGATAGAGGAATTATGGAAGTATAAAAAAATAATAGAATAATGTAAACAAATACTAAAATTGTTTTATATATGAATTAAAAATTCTAAGTATGGATTTTAAATTTCTACTTATAGGTACAATCATAAATGTTATACTATATTTATAGAATAGACTATATTTATAGAATTATAAATATTGAAGTTATTGTATTGGATATTATATTAGTTACCTACTTTCAATATATACACCTACAAATTTAATAAACATCTTTTTTTAATTTATACTATTATATTATAAATATATATAGAAAGATTTATTTATAATACATCAATATTTTTCAAATCATCATAGCTATTATATAGATATGTTCAAATTAGATATGAAAACTGATATAATAAGACATTACTATTTCCTTATTAGTTATGATCATAAATCTGTGGTCTATTGTTTAAAAATTACATTTTTATTAAATAAGTACTTATGTTATTTTTATATGTTAAATAGTTTTATTTTGATTAAATATATAGCTTTGTATATATTATTTGAGCATTATCAATAAAAATATTTCATTAATATAAATTTTCAAATCTTTTATTTTATCTTATATACATGTAATCATACAAATTAATATGTTAATGTTATTTTTGTATTACTGTTATTTATTTTAATTGATTTCTGTATATATCAATATTTAATCAATACTAATAATTGTACTTTTTTAGAGATGGTTTAAAGGAAATGTTTGATTAAAAAATTGTTGTAGTAAGTGATTAAGAAATAAAATTCAGACAAAATGAAAGTGAT